GCCCTAATCTCCTTGATTTCAACGAGTGGTTGAAAGAAAAGATCGAAAAGCAAGAAACTATGAAAAAATTTCTTGGATCGCGTTTTTTGCATCTAATGCTCAGCCAAACGAGGTGTTGGATATCCTGCCTGCCCGCAGTGCGCTGGAAAACATCCGTTATGGGGATGTAAGGTCTTCAGGGAAAAGAACCTAACACAAAGGGCAAAATTTTCCGCGGAAAAATAACTCTGTTTCTCCTGTCTCCAAGCGGGCCGCTTGTTCCGTAAGTGCCCGAAGGCTAGGAAGTGCATTAAGCCTGAGTGCGAAATCATGCACAATGTCCTTTTGCATGGTGCAAGCTGCATTTTTCCTCTTGGAAAGGAAAAAATATGTCTTCTACCGGAAAAGCTTCGGTGGATAAATCAACGTCGTCTTGTTCCGCATCAGTGCAGGACGTTAAAGGTCTTCTTCAGGTTATTGAGTTAAGTGTTTCCTCTAAATCAAAAATCGAAATCGCCCTTGTTTTGTGTGACTCCGCGATCAAGCTTCCTGGTTTTCCGCAAGCTCGGCCCGAGATCTGAAATTTTCAGTAAGAAAACTTGATTTGACCCTGCATCTTTTGACCCTTTCAATTCAACGCATATCATTTCGACCGATTTAGTCGAGGACACACTATCCGCTGACATAAAAAACTACGATTAGACCTGCAATGTAGATACTTACCTAAAGGATGATATCAATGTTGGGTCTCAAGAGGTTAATGTTTGACCCTTTTAATTCAACGGATATCATTTCGACCGATTTAGTCGAGAGACACACTATCCGCTGACATGAAAAACACCGATTATACCTGCAATATAGATGCTTACCTAAAGGATGATATCAATGTTGGGTCTCAAGAGGTTAATGTTCCGGCCCTCCAAGAATAGTACCCATACAGGGAACCAAAAAAGCCAGTTCGGTATAGTTATTCGTACATCCAAATGGTTATTGGTCAGGACTTCTATCACCACATACTTTCGCTCGATTATATTCATGATGCAGATAGGAAAACTCCCATGGCTATTTGTCTACCAGTAGGATTCGTTTTGAGTGGCCCACTCCCTTCACCGTCTGGGTTAAAGCCAACATCTTTCAAGTGCAATGCTGAAAACGTGGAATTTGTTAGCCAAGGTAAAAGGTCGTATGAGTTAGAAATTTATGGCACATACAAGCAAGCTGATGCTCGTTCTGCAGCTGACCAGCGAGCTCATAACCTTCTTGAATCAACAAAGTACCATGATGGTGGACGGTATTGGGTAGGAATGTTATGGGCCTATGATAGCAGTTTTTTACCGAACAACTGCTACTCAGCGCTGGCGCAGTTCGAGACGCTTGAATAACGGCTCGATAAAAATAGTGGTTTAAACTGTGAATACACTGAGACAGTAAATGGGGACCTCAATAAAGGCTGTGTCATTCCGTTTGAACTGCACGATCCGGTCCTCAACCCAAACAAGGTAGGTAAGGTTCGTCGTGTTTTGAAAGGCGCAAAAAAACTTTCACGGCTTTTCTTTACACAAATCTTTGCTCGTTGGGCCTGATTTATTGCAAAACTTGTTACACGTGTTAATGCGCTTCCGCCAACATCAATTTGCCGTCTCCGCGGATAGCAAGGTTATGTTACTCCATGTTTGGTTACTCCCTTGTGATCCACCTTCTCTGCGTTTTTTGTGGCGCAAAAATATCACGTCGGATGTGGAAGTTCTCCAGTATACCCGGCATATTTTCGGTGCTCGGGACTCCCCGATATGCGCGGCGAATATTCACACGTCAGCAAACCGCCAGCGATAACGTTGAAATTTTTCGTGAAGCATCTAGTGCAGTATGTTTTATGCTCTATATGGATGATTACTTGGATTCAATCGAAAACCGCAATGACGCAATGAGAGTAAGCAAGGACCTGATGAGCCTTCTTAAATTGGGAAGATCTAGTTTGTTAGTAATGTTCCTGCAATTCAAAAAATTTTAACCCTTCAATTGATGTAACTGCAAAGTAAAGGACATTGCAACTGGTAATGACTTTTTGAATTCTCATGTAAGGGGATTAAAGTGGAACCATGGAAGTGATTCTCTTGTTGTTGGAGTTAACTGTGAGTTCCAAACCTCTGTTACCCAACGAACTGTTCTCAGTTTTGTTTCATCGGTCTTCGACCATTTTGGTTTGCTGGCTCCCTACGCGGTAAGGGTGTGCCTGCTTCTTAAAGACACTTGGTGAGTAACTGGGCAACAGTGGGATGATCCCTTACCAGAAGCGCTCCGGAAGCAATTCATTGAGTGGCATTCAAGTCTGCTTGTCTTAGGAGAAATAGTCATTACCCGGTGCTATTTCAGTAATCCGTTTGAACGATGTGAGCTGTTTCAACTGCTGAATTGGGCGCCTGTTGGTCCCGATTCGACTGAATTGGAAGCGTTAAAGCCCTACCATTTTCTCTTGGGAGAGCACTCTGTTATCTTTCTTTCACTAACACTAGATGAAATTTTTGACCACCGAAAGCGCTATGTGAGAGCACAAGCTCACGCAAATGCTATCTGACAACGTTGGCTGAAAGAGTATGTCCCTTCCTTGAACAAACGCTCTAAGTGGAATGCCGATTCGAATCGCGATTTACGAACTGTTGATCTCGTCTGTATTGTCGATCCCAGCAGCCCTCGTTGGCACTACCCTTGAGGTCGAATAACTGCTTTAAACTACGGCAAATATAACGTCGCTCGCTCTGGCAACCGTTTAGACCCTATCACGCCAATTAGTAAGACTCCTCGTTAAAGTTGCTTCGGTTTTCGCTTTTTCGGGGATGAGGATGTTGCTGACTAAATAGTCAATTATGAACTAAACTTTGAACAAATAATACAAGAACATAAACCCGAGCGGCCTAGTCTACCAAACCGCCGACCGACTATATACAGACTTGCCATTCGGCGCAGTTTCGATCCCCCCGCCCCAACCAAAACCCTTTCTGTTTATTGAGTAAAAGTTAGCTATATAAACTAGTTCATAAAACGCCCTTGACCGACCTCGATTGACAGATTTTCAACTGTCAATGAAACCATGTTTTGCCAAAGTGTGAACGCATTCTCACGCTTAAATTTGGTGCTGTTTCAACTTGTCTTAATTGAAGATTACCCAAAATTAAGCGATTGGTTGTTGAGACCTTTTGGTTTATAGAAAATACAGTTTGCACAGATACTACAGTTTTTTCAGCGCAAATGAAGACTTGAAATTGGTTCAGTGATTTGTGAGACAAGATGCCTTCTGAAAAAAAGGGTATGTTTTGATTTGATAAGGGTGACTGATCGAAAGCCTAATTAAAGCTTGACTCATAATCCCGATTTTTATCTACTTGCCGTTTTTTCAAAACTTTTTATCTCTTTCTGGCTTTTAACAATGAAAACTTTTTTGCATTTTCTGGTTTTTAACAATGAAAAAATGAATCAATGAATTAACTAACTACTCAATCAACCTGTTTTCTAAAATCCGTCTTAACTGCCATTTTTTATACCAAATATATTGAATAAAGGTTCAATCAATTGTTTAGTTCACAAAATAGGCAGATTTTCATAAATTTAGACTTTATTGCATTGACAAATATACTGTTACTTTAATATATACTGTTTTGGTTTCTATGAAAGGACGCAAAATCCGTTGGAACGTTTTATTGCCTTTGATTTGAGATTATGCTACATTATAGTCCTTCAAATATTGCTCCATTTTTTGTGTTTCAGTCTCTCTTGTTTATTTCGGAAGCTCCTCCCGTTAGAAACCAAAATGTGGCGCCTCTTCATATTGTCTATTTTTAACATATACTGAAAGCTTATGTTGTTTCATATGATGACAAATATCCTTACAACGGAGCTCGAAAGATATTAAAATTTTTTATCCATAATGAAAAAAGAATAGTTTTAATGAATCTTAAACACAGAACTGAACTTATCTAGAGGACAATTTCGAACAGCTATTTTATTTATCAAGGAAATCTATGAGTGTTCATTTTGAAATTGGAAACAAATTGATTTTGATTTTGCACATCATGGACGAGTATTCTTCCTCAAACAGCTAAAAACCAACTCGAGTAAGTATTTTTAAGTTAACTTAAAAACCTGCTCAGAAAAAAATGTTTGTCGTAAAACTTTCGTCAGATCTCAAACTATTTGAACATCAGCAAGAGTAAGAGAAGGAATATCAAAACTACAACTAAATACTTATTTTTTAATAGGATTTTTTTTGGTCTCCATTGGGAGAGCGTGGAAAATCAATTTGGTCGACCTAAAAATGGCCTCAACTTTTTTTTGAAAAACCGAACTGACCATCCTCGAGAAAATCCTAGATCCACCGCTGATCGACTCAATTCATAAAGAGCTTTAGTATGATTACGTGTTTTACGTGGGAAAAAAAAAACAAAAAACATAGAAACTTTAATTGAAAATTTCTCTAGGTTTTTCCCCTTATCATGACAATTGTATAAAATTGAGCGAAGTAGCGTCTAACTTACATCTTTTATACAAATAACAACCTGCAAAAGTCGATCAGTGTCACTAAGGATCTTTCAGGGACGGAAAACTAACAGAACAACCTTTTCAGTGAATCGAAAAATGGAACCCCCCTTCTTAAACAAAAAAAATTGATTCAAATTTTATTGTAGTCTCACCCAATTAAAAAGTATCTGGTCATATTCAGCTGGTTTATTGTGTGATCACCAAATCTCAGCCTGAACAATTAGTCCGATGCATGCATCATAAAGCAGACGATTCAAGCAGCACTTCGACGTTTGGCCAAGCGGGTGATCTTTTTTTGATGCGTCGCTTTCACCTTGCGTCGTAAAACCATAAACATTTGACTAGCAGAACGCAAAGAACAATTGTGCCGACTCAGAAAAACTGGCCGGCTGAAACAGCAAAAAAGCCATTCTACAGACTGAAATGCGGTCTATGTAACGATAGAAGATTGGGAGACACCAAGGTTAGGCGAAGAGAAAGGGTTTGGACGGACGTTGCAAAAGTCTTAGGCCCACCCAAGCATAAAGACAGTCTTTTCTATCTTAGGTCGTCATTGCTTTTGCTCCTCCTAAAGCTGAAGTACTTTTTGATCTACAATGTTTGTTAAATAGTTGATGCACTATACTTAAATGTATTCTTAATGATTAGTATGTATACTAACCATTAATAATATGCTATAAAGTTTTGTTAAAAATTTGGTATTGTCGTTCAAAATTTACTCGCCGCATATTGTCAGCTTTGCACCAAAAAATGTTAAAAAACGACGTTAAAAAATCTGCATAAATGTTTGAGTGAAGTGTTGTTTTTAAATGGTGCTGTCTAAGCACAGCTTGCTTAGGATGATTGAACGTTTAATTATTCTCTCGTACGACACAATTTATTTATATTTTGCTCCGACGGCCAAAAATAAAGAAAATTATATTGAAAGCTACAGCATAAAAAAGCAAAACCATCCATTGTTGAATTAAATCCATATATTTTGTGATTATAATCTTAGCAATGGTATTAATTTACTTCTAAGGCACTTATGGAGTACTTAAACATAAATAAACATTTATGTTCAAAGGATCTTCACCGTTTTGTTAAAATACACTCAAATACCTGAAGCCTTTCTGACCAATTTGAAAGCCGTCATTTAAATTTTTGGCGATAAAAAATTTGGCACTTGACAAAATTTGAGCACGTGAAAAGTTTGCCGTTTCATTAATTGATATGACCGATCATATCAAAACTATTAATAATTTTGATTGCTAGTGCTCAAAGACTGAGCGAAAAGATAATTTCACAGCTTATTTTGCTTTGTTAGACTCATTAAATTACCTCCAAAAAATTAAATTCAACTTTAATCGTCTATCATTATCTTAAGTTTTTTGCCGCCCGCCGCTTATCAAAAAAACGCAAATTCTTATCACTCAGTTTTTATCAATCAGTTTTATTATACCCAACAAAAAAATTTTCACTTTACAGTTCAGTGATTGAACCATTGTGCAGATCTGAAGTCTACGAGAAAAAAAAATCAAATCTGAGTTGAAAGCTGACGATATAGAAGATTGTAGGATTCTGGGAGGATTCTGGGAAGAATGAACGTGGGCGATGTGCTTGCAATGCAAAACCCGAGTGCCACTTTCGCGCCTCCTTGCGAACTAGCGGGTGGCACATCGGCTCTCGGGTCTGCTGGTGGTTCTTCTCGGCAGCAGCTGGCGGCGTCACACGGGGACAGGGCCCAGTACATGATACAACAGATTCTACAGCAGAACGGAACCGAAGGTTCGTTTCATTGGCAGCCTCCACTACATTTTTTCTCTGCAATTTTTCCAGCAGTTTTTTAAAATAAAATCCAAGCATTACTTTTTGTCTACAGAATGATACCCTCAAAAATCTTTTCATTTGTTTGTGAAGAATTTCGTTCTTTTGCATGTTCCTCAAGTAATCATTTGAAACCACATTTTTTGCACGTTGATTTCAAATTTTGCATGCAAAAAATAGTTTTCGAATGATTACTTGATTTTTACAAAGGAAGCAAGTGAAGATTGTCCTTAAGTGAGTAGCATACAAAGTTCCTATCACGAATATTAGTTTTGCTAAACAAAAAACAAAAACGAACAAGGATTGTCGGTTGGTGAGCAAGTAGCACAGACTGTTTCGACTATATTCTGAAGAAAATAAAAACACAAAAAAGTTTTTCTTTAAATGAAGTTCAGTTTTTTTGCGTGATGTGATGAAAATATCTGAAAGACTAATTTTTAGGCATTTTTGCAATTTACAGTAAAAAAGGCATACTGAAAAACAGTTTTATCCAAAAAATGACTCATAAAAAGAAATAAAAATATATTTTAAAAAATTTCAGTTTTTCGTGCAGATTTTTTTTTGAATTTTTATCGGCAAGATGGCGCTATAACAACTTTGAAAAAAATTACTTTGTTTTTCAGTGCTTCAATAAAAAAAATTCTTGGCTCATATACCACTTATCTGCGGCTATTCTTCTATAATAAACCTGCTCGCTCGCTTTACTCGCTTGAAATTGGACGAAAACTTAAAAGTTTAAAACAAATTTTTCTCGACACTGAGAAAATGTTTGGAAATTTTTCTTGAAATCGTTCGAATCATGACTGAAAGGGTTTTGATATTATACATCATTCAATCTAGTCCATACATTATTTGTGGTATCATATTTTTCGTGGAGAAAAAACTAAAACACGCCCGAATACAAAGTTCCTCCCCATTTTTAATGATAGGAACAAAAAAATATATCTTTAGCGAGTAGGTGCTAAGAGAGATTTTGAGAACTTTTATCAATAAATTAATAAAATTATAAAAAAAATTAAAAAAAGAGTAGTTCGTCGAATTTAAGGGTGGCTCAACTTGAACTGAATTTTCTCGAAACCGGGGAATCATTTTCAAAAAATATAATATCGATTGAGCCACGACTGAATGATTTTTAGAAAAGTTATAAAATTCTATCTAATGTGGTTATTGTTTGTGGAATTTGATTTTGCGTGAAAAAGCTCGCCTGAAAACAAAATTTCTTACCGCTCTGTGGTGAGAACAATAACATTCAACTATTTTAATGGTCGTTCCTGCGATTCGCAGAGGATCTTCGAAAAGTTTTGCATGTATCTTTGCCTGTTTAAGCATAGTCCACTTCTCACATTCCCCCACACTGCAGACTCGGTTATTTTGTTGAGCGAAGCTCAATGTCGTTTTTTTGCGTCTAAAACTATCACGTGGTTGCACTATTGCAGCCGAAATCGGTCAGGTTGTGGTAGACCTGAAGCTGTGTGTTGTTTTTCAGGAGCAGCCGAGAGATGGCTGAATGACAAAGAGCGTCGTCAACGAGAGAGAACAGAGAGGCTACGAGAGAGCCTGAAGAGACGAGGAGCAAACACTACTTCTACTAACGGAGCAGGAGGAGGCACCCATCTGCAACTTCTGGCCGAGAGAACCAGTTTGCAGAATTACTATTCAACTGAAACATATGGTGCTAACAAACAATTTGCCTCTCTCCCTGGATTTCCCGGTCAGTTTGACCGATTTAAAAAAATTCTCAATTAACAGCTTTTCTGTCATTTTTAACTTTTTCTGCAATGATAACTGTAATCGGCACATTATGTGCTCCATGCACAACTACCAAACACTCTTGTTATTTCTCAAACTTATTCGTATTCTTAGACAAAACTCACGATTTCTTCAGACTTACTGTAAGCTCGCGAGGTTTTGTAAACTAAAATCAAGAACGGATGAAGGTCTGTTGAAAAATTTGTTGAAAAATGTCTCGCAAAGTAACTGAAACTTTGAAAAAAAGGATAAATTGTTTCTCGTTTAGAAATAATGGCCATGGAGAGAGGTCGCACAGATTTGTTTCTTCAGAAGCCCTCGTTTGAAAGACAGATGATGAACTCGAATGGGAAGATATCGGCGGCAGGAGGGGATCGCGGGGAGGGAGTGAACAGACTTCAAAGGAACGATAGCCACCTGCAACAGACTGCCACAGTTAACTGCAACAGTAGGAGCAACAGAGATGACTTCTCTTCCATCCAACTGCCACCATTGAGTCAGATACAAAACAACCACGCAAACATCAAAAACAACAACAACCACAACACCAACACCAACAACAACAATGAAAGCAACAACCCAAACAATAATAACAACAAAACTACCAATAACAACAGCAACAAGGGTCTTAAAACAAGTAAGACCAAAATCCAGCATATTGTAAACATATCAAAAAATCAGAAAACCACCGGTCAGAAATTGGATGCCAGAAAAACTAGCAACAATCAGGTCCCGAGCAATGCCAATAGTCAACAGCGCCGAGCGACCGAAAATTCTTTCGATTTGGTTCCAGTTGGGATACCTATCAATGCGTCCAGGAGCAACGGCGGAACTGGTGGTGAGGGGGATCAGAACACGGTTCCCTCTACAAAGAGAGTGTACCCGGATGGGGCGGGGGGACTGAGTAATAAAAAATACTCCATCAATTTCTGCCATTTAGCTGACGCCCCTTTCTCATTCGCCAAGTCAGTTCAATTCTGTATGATTTTCTGAAGCGCAATTTGGTCATGAATACTCTCTCTCTCTCTCTCTCTCTTCTCTCTCTTTCTCTCTCTCTCTCTCTCTCTCTCTCTCTCCCTTTCTCTTTCTCTCCTCTCTTCAACACAGGGCGTTAAAATAAGATTATCTGGGAAAAAGTATCAAAATCACGCAGTAAGTTATAACCCTAACACATGAATTTTACTTCGTGCGAAAATTAGGCGCAAAACCATTGAAAAGCCCATTTCGAAAAACCGTTAAATAAACAACTTCAGAATTGAAATACATACTTGAAAATCCTTAAATTTTTAAGGGAAAATTTTTTTCACTAGATTTTTTTGCCGTGAAAAATGAAATTTTCATCGGTTTTTATTTAATGTTCCGATCACCAAAAATGAATAGGAACTTTCGATTAGGCTGATTTTTTCCGACTAAATAATGTTCGAAAAAAGACGCAAGATGGACTAACTGATATATCATACGCAGAGGCACCTCGAGCTTCGCACCACTTGCTACACAAGTGTGAAATTCCAGGCTAGCGAAAAGTAAATCAGCCAGTAATCACTGCGTTGAAAAATAATCTTAAACAAAAGTTTAAACTTTTGACAAAATGAAATTTTGATTTCGAAAAACAAAATGAGATACACAAAAAAAACATTGAACAAAATTTTCCTTTGGGGAACAGCCGTTGAGCCGTCAAAACTTCGAATAACGGGAACTAGGCAGAAAATACCAAAAATGCTACTCAAGCAAATTTCATATATGGAAAAATGAACATCATACATTTTTCATGGAACTCCATTAGCCCAAAAATTACAAGAAAAGTCAAGTATTAGTGATTCTTCGTATGTGGAAATTTTATAATTAAAATTTTTCCTTGACCAAAAAAGTGTTTTTTGTTTCAATTTCTCAAATTTTTAGGGCTGTATTTGTAAGAAAACACAAGTGACAAAAACTCTAGTTACTCAAAGCTAGAGTCACCAAAACTGTAATATTGTAATTCACCTGAATACAGGTGTCTAACGCAAACATATAATGAAAATAGCAAACTTCTATATATTGGCAACAATTTTCCAAGATGAAATTACAAATTTAATAATTTAAGCAAAGTCCAAAGCTTTTTTTGAGCGTTTTCGCTTAACGTTATCTAGAGAAATGGAAATATAATAAAGAAACTTTCGTAAATTCTTGTTTGTTTAAGAAAATGTTTGTTTGAGTACAAAATTCGTTTTGCTCTTGAAAAAAACTCATTTCGCTCTTATTTTGGAGATAAATCAGAATCATCTATGAAATCTTTCGAGTCGCCATAAAGAAGTTTTCAAACAGTTTCCACTTACTTGAGGAAATTGTATGCTAACAATTTTTTGTCTAAAAAAGCTTTTCTTTTTGTTTTTTGTTCCGACCATCGAAATTGGAAAGGGGACTTTGTATTCGGGTGTATTTTAGTTTTTTTTCCAGGAAAACTAGGTACCACAATAAATCATTACACTGGGTTGAGTATTGTAACATAATAAAACCCTTTTAGTTGTGATTGGAACCACATTAAAAAGTTCCCAACATTTTTTATAGTGTCGAGAAAAAACAGTTAAATTTTTGGTTTTTCGTTTTAATTTGAGTGAACAAAACAAGCCAGCAGACTTACAACAGCTGAGTTATGCCTAATTTAAGACCTTAAAATTTAGTTTTAGTTTCATTTTGGGAACCAGAAACTTCAACAAATTCCAAAAATTTTCTGCAAAAAAATTTGGAAAACTTTTTTTAAAAGTATATTTTTTGTTTTCCTCTCGTTTTTCGACAAAAAATTCTGTTCAGTTTGTCTATATTTTTATGCGTGTCTAATATGCATAACTGATATTCTTAGGTCAGATCCTTTTATCACACCAAGCAAAAAAACTATACTAGTTTGGAGAAAAAAACTTCCAAACCGTAGTTTTCTGAAGACTATGGTCGGAACATTCTGTGCTACTTGCTGTGGACAGTAGCCGGCTATCCTTGTTTATATATGACCTCACACCAAATTTTATGCCAAAACAAGAAAACACAATTTTAAATTGATTACACCCTTTTAGCAAAAACATATGTTTCATTTTGGGAACCAGAAACTTCAACAAATTCCAAAAACTTTCTGCAAAAAAATTTGGAAAACTTTTTTTAAAAGTATATTTTTTGTTTTCCTCTCGTTTTTCGACAAAAAGTTCTGTCCAGTTTGTCTATATTTTTATGCGTGTCTAATATGCATAATTTATATTCTTAGGTCAGATCCTTTTATCACACCAAGCAAAAAAACTACACTAGTTTGAAGAAAAAAAATTTCCAAACCGTAGTTTTCTAAAGACTATGGTCGGAACATTCTGTGCTACTTGCTGTGGACAGTAGCCGGCTATCCTTGTTTATATATGACCTCACACCAAATTTTATGCCAAAACAAGAAAACACAATTTTAAATTGATTACACCCTTTTAGCAAAAACATATGAAAATTGTTTGACTAGCAAGTTTTCATAGACTTACTTCATGGAGTTGTATGATTATTGTTTTTGGTCTGTGGAGCTTTAATAAGTTGACCTTTTCTTAACAGCAGTTGCACAAGTTGGAAATAGCATGATTCTTCAGAACTTTAAGAAAGTTGTTAGTGTAAAAACGTCTAGCTTCCGATGATAGGTCGCATGCTATCTTAAATTTAATTAAACCCCATCAGGAGATGCAATGAACAGTAACCAAACAAAATTCCAATGTCAAGAAATCATCCAGTGCCGCTGAAAAAAAAAATATTACAGTCTCTGAATATTTTATTATTTTGATTATAATGACACTATTGATGTAGATCTATACTATCAACTAGACTGCTCGTATATCAGGGCAAAGCCCTGAATGATCGGACTGCACTCAGGGCCAACTGAAAAACTTTTTGGTTAATCAATTGACAAATTATTTGAGAAAAAAAGACGGTTTTTTGTTTCTTCATTTCATCCCCATATGCTATGTAGAATACCAAGGGTGTGTTTAGTGTCTCGTCTTGTGATAAAGAAATTAAATTACTGGATTCGTTTCAAATTGGAGCGCATTAACTCGCTTCTTGCGCATACTATAAGTACGCAATATATCCCACTTCAAGTATCCCAAACCGGCCGAATTAGTAATTTTCAAACTCCCATAACATTAGGAAAAATGATCACAGGTGAAATACCATCTGTATAAAAAAACTCCGTCAAAAACGTTTAATTTACAAGTCGAAAATCGACTGAAAAAAAAACAAGACTGCTTGTATATCAAGGCAAAGCCCTGAATGTTCTGACTGTTCCTTAATTGATATCGAATAGTTGTCCAGAGAGGAAAATATTGAAAATTTAGTGTGAAGTTTTGAGTCATACAAAATTAATACGATCGACTAACTAGCCTCTATTCAATTTGGAATGATTTTGTTGTGCGGGATATTTCGCCACGCATAAATAACTTGCGTTAAGCTCTCAGCATGATGGATAAACTCTTCAAACAGCGAATAAATTAGTCCAGAAAATGGCCAATTTGGTAACTTTGAAAACCCCAGAACATTACAAAAAATAGTCGGAGGTAAAACTTCTTTTAAAAATTGCAGTAAGGAAGTTGATATCTTCAATTGGGTATAAAAATGTTCAGTTGAAAACTATTATTTCGATCGGCAAAAATTGACTGAATACAAAAACCGCACCGAGCATAGATATTCCGTTTGCTTCGAAAGTCCGAGCCAAAAATCACACCTCATAAATAATGAGCGTTTTTTGGCGCGTTTTTTTGGCGCGCGCTCCCCCTCAAAATTAGTATATTTTAGAAAAATTTTAGGCTCGGTCGGCTAAAATTGGATTTCTGAAAAAGTATCAAAGGGGGGACCCTTTGGGTTGGCAGGGGTTCGAATCCCCGAGAAAGGGCGTCCGCCCCCCCCCCCCCGTAAATCCACCCCTGAATAGGGGGCAACAGGGGGAATATATTATGTCTTGGTGTTCGTACATAGCTCAAATTGATCTTCCCTGAACAAAACAAATTTTTGCCATCTCGTAGCTTTACTTTTGCTTCCTTATAAGCTCAAAAAGAACAAAGTCAGTATTTCTGCGTTTAGTCTATAGGTCTTAAACTTTTATAACTAAATTTCTTTTGTTCATTGAGATTACCGGAGTAAGCTATTTATAGTTACAAGAAAATAACCCGAGTCAATGAAGCAAATTTTGAGCGGTTTGAGCTGTTTTTTTTTTAGACAATTACGCTCAAAATCTTGCTTCAAAATGAGCGGTTTGAGCGGTTTTTGAACGGTTTATCTAAAAAAACCGCTCAAAAACCGCACTAGATTTGAACGGTTTTGAGCGGTTTATCTAAAAAAACCGCTCAAAAACCGCGCAAGATTTGAGCGGTTTAACTAGAAAAACCGCTCAAATTTTGCGCGGTTTTTGAGCGGTTTTTGTTAGATAAACCGCTCAAAACAATTCAAATCCTGCGCGGTTTTTGAGCGTTTTTTTTAGATAAACCGTTAAAAAACCGTTCAAAACGCTCATTTTGAAGCAAGATTTTGAGCGTAATTGTCTAAAAAAACCGCTCAAACCACTCAAATCTTGATCTTGAGCGGTTTTTTTATATATAAAAAATTCGCTCATAGATATATAAAAAGATACGTACATACATCTATACACACATACATACATACATACATAAATACATACATACATAGATACAAACATACTTACATTTAAACATGCATACATACATACATACATACACATACTTAAATTTTTTTCAGTGGTTAATTTGCTCGAGCTTTTGAAAAAAGTCGCTCACAATATTTTTGGTCAATACATCGAAAAAATCTTGCTTGAGTTGAAAACGGTTAAGCATTTTTTTAAATTGTAGATACCCGGGTTGACCAACAATGCTTGTCCTACAATTTCCATATATGAAAAAATGCGTATCCTACAATTTCCGACAGTTTCATAGACTCAGAAAATTGTAAAAAAAACTCTAGCATAAGCATTATTTCATATATGGAAATTGTAGGATAAACGTTTTTTCATATAAGTAAATTGTACGATAAACATTTTTTCATACATGGAAATTGTAGGATAAACATTTTTTTCCAAAAAAAAATAAACGTAGTTATTTTTCATTAACAGACTGTTTTATTTGGTTCAAATAGCCGGAGAAACTGTATTGAATCTTTTTCAATGTTTCTTTGAAATTGTATGAAAATTGTATGATCAGCATTTTTCCATACTGTTGATGTAGGAAATTGTAAGATAAGCAACTTTGGTATGGGGAAATGTAAGATAAGCATTTTCGGTTTATGGAGGTCAACCCGGGTAGTATTTCAACTGCATCTTAGCGTCACATTACCTTTCCAGGCCTTTTTGTTGGTTTTAATCGGTTTTCTTTATAAGACCGCTTAAAAACCGCTCAAATCTTCCTTGAAAAACCGTTCAGAAATCACCGCAAGAAATGAGCGGTTTTTTAAGCAAGATTTGAGCGGTTTGAGCGGTTTTTCCAAAAAAAACCGCCCAAACCGCTCAAATCTTGCTGGAAAACCGCTCAAACCGCCCATATTTTGAGCGGTTTTTGAGCGGGATCTCGACCCGGGAACTGAAAAAGTAACAAAAAGTTTCATTAGAGGTGTACTATGTTACTTTACTTCAGTGTTTCTGGCCAATATGCAACACTTACAAGACAATTACAATTATCGCGGTGTGAAATAAATTTAGATAGATAACAAATCTTGCTACTGCCTCAAGAAGTTCGGAAGGGAGAAACGCACATATAATTTTGTTGTAGTCACTATTTGCAAGAGAGGAGCAAGGAGCAATTGGACTTCCGGACGATATGTGGCTTCTGGCTCAAGCACACAGACCAATACTCCTCGGAGTGGCTGCCCCTCAACCAGAGCAGCATGTGCTGCTCAGGAGGAACAGAAACAGGCCACGACTACAACCACAACAACCCTTTGGTGGACAATGAGTTTTTCAACAGAGCAGAGGCGAACCAACTTGAGCTGTGGAACGGATTATGACATTAAAGAAAGATCTCAAACTGAAGCGAAGGAGGAATTAAATGTTGCATAAGAGAGGCGAACACACTTTATAGATTGCAGTGCATAATCGCGAAATAACAAAACATTTTTAGAAGCGCTTGAGTTCGTTTAAAAGTTAAGAATAAAAAAAAGCTAGAGAAACGAAAAAATGAAAAATTAACTGAATGACAATTTTAACACAGAGGCGAAGCTGCGTTTCGCAAACGCTATCGAGCACTCGACAAAAAGCATCTATATAAGGAAAAAGTAGAAACAAACTTCGAATTTGCAAAAATTCGACTACGCCTCTGTTTCGAACTTACGACCTACGGCAACCTAGAGATTATGGGTGCATGTACAAAACAGTCCAATACAAATAGTCCAAAAAATCATGTAACAGAGGCAAAAAAAACAGTCCAATAAAAAACAGTCCGGTTTAAGGTCCCGGTGGGCTCCAAAGTTCGTATTAAGTCCTACCCTCTGTTGTCAAGCTCGCAACACGTTGACACGACTGCGGTGGTCACTATTTTGTTTATTATATTTGTTGAACAAAGAACCTTTCTCGGCATACAGGCTTGTTAAAACAATTATTACTTGGGACTGTTTTTCGGACTGTTTTGTATTGGACTGTTTTCCGTTCATTTTCATACTTTTCCGGACTGTTTTGTATGGTAATGTTTGTGCAGACACGAGTATGAGTCTCAAGCACTAATCACGCCTTCTAGCTTAGAAAAAAGAAGGTTCGTACTAATAGCTTAACGCTCGCAAGCTTGCTAGTGTGATTATGAGAAAAGTGTTGAAAAAGCGTTTCGCTTTTCTTTGCAAATTGCTTTCACGCTTTTTCAATGAAATCACTCACAAAAAATACAAGGATAGCCGAAAAACATACAGCACCGAATTTTCTGTCATTCTCATCGTTGAAAACATTTTTCGATTGTCTTAATGTCAGTGAGTGGTGATTGAATTAGATTTTGAGCTGTAAAATTCAGGTAAACATTCACTCAAGGAAAAAGCCACTGAAAGAAACCCACATATATAAAAAGTAAAACAATAAGCATATAGATTTTTATATGATTCTTTTACTTAAAAAAAACATCAAAGGAATCCCAGTAAAAGAAACATATAAATTTAAAATTTGAATTGACAACTGAGTGAAGTAAAACACAACAGCTGCCACGCTTTTGAATTCCCCGCGCAAAGAATAACAAACAGATTTTTAATCTGCGCTTTTGAAAGCAAAGAGCAAATCTAGTTCAAGTTTCAAGAAGTCGCAGATCGAACCAGGTTTATCTCAATATTTGTCATGGGAAAATAAAATTAACTGCCGGCGAATTGATTCTCATTCTTGATAGTTTCGCAGAAAATTCAGACCACCAAAATTCTCATTTTTTCTACCCAGAGTCAAAGCAAAGCTTCGCGCCATTTTCTATGCATCACTAACAGCATGACAGTCTAACCGACAGATATTGAAGCAAAGGCTATATAAAAACTTCCAAGAAAAGTGTTCTTACTTTTGTCTTGCTTCTGTCTTCAATTAAGATAATTTCAAGAAACAGGTCATACCTACGGAAAGTAGGTACCCGGGTTGACCTCCATAGACCAAAAATGCTAATCAAACAATTTCATACACTTAGTCTATGGAAAAATGCTGGTCATACAAATTTCACACATTTTTGCAAAATGAAATTAATCGAATTTCAAAGGTGTTTTATAGTTGTTTTGGAATTGGTATCTCTTCATAAAAAAGGGGAAAAAATGGTATGAAAAAAAATGCTACCCATACAATTTCCATATATGGAAATTCTATGATTAGAATTTTTTTAAAAATTTTTTTTGTGAAAAAAAAAGCGTTGAACAATCAATTCTTCTGCTTGCAAAACATTTAAGCGTTTTTGGGCTGCTACGACTGAAAACTTTGACTTTTTAAATTTTTTTTCTGAAAAAAAACACTAGTCATACAATTTCCATATATGGAAATTGTATGACTAGCATTTTTTTGATGGCGACGACAAAAATTTTTTCTAGGTACTTTTGAAATTGCCCCCAAAAATTTTGTGTGTTTTTTTCCACTTAAAATTCATTTTAGTATTCAAACAAACATTTTTTGAAGAAAAAAAAATTTTGCATGCAAAATTTATTTTTTTTTGTGTGTATAACGTAGTCCTGGATATACTAATATTGGATTTGTTTTCCTTTTCTCTCCGTAAATTTTTTCAAAAACGCTTAAAACTCCTCTTTCTTTTGTATGACATGTTTTTGTATACCTTGATAAATGTCTGGTAATTTAAACATTCAAATTTTAGAAATAATCATCTTTGAAAAATATTGCCAAAATTTATAAGTTCACTATTTCCGTTATGTTAATTGTCGGAGACAGAAGTAACAAATATCAGGCTGTTTCCAATGCATTGTTAATGCGAGACGGCCAAACCGTTGGTTACTACGTTTGAGTAATCAAGGTTAATGCATTTGTGTTCGGTTACGAACACAGCCAAAAAATTTTGAGAAATTAAAATGTAAAAAATCAATATTTTTGGTTTATGGAAAAATTCTAGTTATTTGATTTCCATATATGAAAAAAATACTACTCATAGACCTTTCATGCAATTTTCTGTACGTATGGAATTGCATGGAAAGTGTATGACAAGCATTTTTCAATATATGGAAATTGTATCACGAGTTTTTTTGGTCATCCCGGGTATCGTTTTATGACATAAGCTATGGTTAATACAGATAAGAAGAAAGTGTTAACAACTTAAATTCAATTGGTAAAGTTATGTGTGCTTCGAATCTTGCCTCAAAATCATGAGAGAAACAGATACTCATAAACAGCTATTGAATATGACATCAGTTTGAATAGGTACTTGAATAGCTCAGACATCCATATGTTTAGCTTTTCATAAGTACGTATGCCTAAGTATCCTGATTAGGTATCAAGTTAAGTTTAATGTTTCATGTTTTAGTTCGAATCAGTTCTCGATGGATATCCATTATTCGGATAACATTCCCCATTTTTAATTACGACAATGTCATCATATGTCACCTTCTTCCGCCGGTTTTGTATTTTGTTGCGTCTTTTCCAGGGTTTTTCATCTGGAATGTTGATGGACCACCTGCCTGTTTTTCGTCGTAATCGTTTGCAGTAACGTCTAATTTTTGTGCGATTTTGGGCTACGCATTTTCTCAGGAACGTCAAACAGTTCTTGGTGGTCGAGATGGCTCTTAGAATGTTCATTGCGGCGTTGAAGCTGTAGATAATATTTGAATCTGGCGATGATAAAGTTGCGGCTGTTCGACGGATTACATATCTCGAATTAATTGCTCTCTGCTTCGGAAAATGTGGCGGTGTGTTTTTCGGGGCAGCGAGATGAACGTATCACACTCGAATGGGATTTGGGAACTGTCTCGTCGTGGCATTTTTTCTGGACTGCCTTTTCCTCTTTGGCTGGTAGTGTTTGGAATTGTTTTATCGCACTTCCTCGTTTTACGAACACAGCCAAAAAGTATTGTTCTGTGAACTGAGTCTTGTACGGGAAAAAAATTTTTGTTAGATAAACCGCTCAAAACAATTCAAATCTTGCGCGGATTTTGAGCGGTTTTTTTAGATAAACCGTTAAAAAACCGTTCAAAACGCTCATTTTGAAGCAAGATTTTGAGCTTAATTGTCTAAAAAAACCGCTCAAACCACTCAAATCTTGATCTTGAGCGGTTTTTTTTATATATAAAAAAATTCGCTCATAGATATATAAAAAGATACGTACATACATCTGTACACACATACATACATACATACATAAATACATACATACATAGATACAAACATACTTACATTTAAACGTGCATACATACATACATACATACACATACTTAAATATTTTTCAGTAGTTAATTTGCTCGAGCTTTTGAAAAAAGTCGCTCACATTGTTTTTGGTCTGGTCAGTACATCGAAAAAATCTTGCTTGAGTTGAAAACGGTTAAGCATTTTTTTTAAATTGTAGATACCCGGGTTGACCAACAATGCTTGTCCTACATTTTCCATATATGAAAAAATGCGTATCCTACAATTTCCGACAGTTTCATAGACTCAGAAAATTGTTAAAAAACTCTAGCATAAGCATTATTTCATATATGGAAATTGTAGGATAAACATTTTTTCATATAAGTAAATTGTACGATAAACATTTTTTCATACATGGAAATTGTAGGATAAACATTTTTTTCCAAAAAAAAATAAACGTAGTTATTTTTCATTACCAGACTGTTTTATTTGGTTCAAATAGCCGGAGAAACTGTATTGAATCTTTTTCAATGTTTCTTTGAAATTGTATGAAAATTGTATGATCAGCATTTTTCCATACTGTTGATGTAGGAAATTGTAAGATAAGCAACTGTGGTATGGGGAAATGTAAGATAAGCATTTTCGGTTTATGGAGGTCAACCCGGGTAGTATTTCAACTGCATCTTAGCGTCACATTACCTTTCCAGGCCTTTTTGTTGGTTTTAATCGGTTTTCTTTATAAGACCGCTTAAAAACCGCTCAAATCTTCCTTGAAAAACCGTTCAGAAATCACCGCAAGAAATGAGCGGTTTTTGAGCGGTTTTTTAAGCAAGATTTGAGCGGTTTGAGCGGTTTTTCCAAAAAAAACCGCCCAAACCGCTCAAATCTTGCTGGAAAACCGCTCAAACCGCCCATATTTTGAGCGGTTTTTGAGCGGGATCTCGACCCGGGAACTAAAAAAGTAACAAAAAGTTTCATTAGAGGTGTACTATGTTACTTCAGTGTTTCTGGCCAATATGCAACACTTAAAAGACAATTACAATTATCGCGGTGTGAAATAAATTTAGATAGATAACAAATCTTGCTACTGCCTCAAGAAGTTCGGAAGGGAGAAACGCACATATAATTTTGTTGTAGTCACTATTTGCAAGAGAGGAGCAAGGAGCAATTGGACTTCCGGACGATATGTGGCTTCTGGCTCAAGCACACAGACCAATACTCCTCGGAGTGGCTGCCCCTCAACCAGAGCAGCATGTGCTACTCAGGAGGAACAGACACAGGCCACGACTACAACCACAACAACCCTTTGGTGGACAATGAGTTTTTCAACAGAGCAGAGGCGAACCAACTTGAGCT